CCCCCACAGCAGTCGCACTCGCAGATAGACCAACGACCCGCTGCTCGCAGACCAGCCGCCCGACACGACCCGCGGGGCTTCCAGTGGGGTTTCCAGTTTCGCGCGAATGTCATGTCCGCAAGCGGGGTCGACTTGTTCCGATGGTCTTGCATATTACCGGACCACGTGAGGAGGAGGGGGGGGGGCACTTTCGCCCGCAGAGTCGGTATGATTCTTTTTCATGGCATCCGCTTTGTCTCGCCCCCCGTCGCCCCCATCGATACCACCGCGGCGGGCGGACGTCGCTGACGTCACGCGGTCCCCGTCTGCCCGTCATCATTCATATTTGCGGAGCGAAATTGCATGTGGTTTACGGAGGCGGCGCCACGACGCTCGCGCCGCGGAGCTCAAGCGGCGGCGGCAGCAGCGTGGTGCCGAGTGTCAAATTACAGGCGGCACCCGCCCAATGCGACAACGAATCGCTTTACGCGCGCGGCTTCCGCGCCGCGCCCTGCGCAGAGTCATTTCCGGCCGGAGAAATGCTATTTCGATGCGCCGCGGGCCGGGCCGGGCCGGCGGGGCGGGCGTCAATCCGCACGCGGGGGAGGAAGGTGGGGTGGGGCGGGGCGGCAGTCGCGGCTAGTCGCGGCGCGCGGGCGCGTAAGCTGCGAATATCGCTTCCTAGCTCGCCTCCATTTACTCTCCTCCAGCGGGCCCCCGCGCGCCGAGTCGAAAATATCTTGATAGAAAACGTAAAAAATCAAAGCTTGGCGTATTGGCGGTTTCCATCAACACACTCGGGGTGCTGCGGTGGGCTCGTTTGTCTTGGCTCATACGCCGCGCAGAGAACGCGAAAAAATAAACCGAGAAAAGTGAAGCCGTGAAAACATTGCCGGCCGAGCGGACGCCGGGTTGAAGGCGAGACAGAGCACCCGTTCACGTTCACGTCGTAGTAAGCGAAAACATGGCATGCTGCTGGAGCAGCCAGCTCGCGCGCTGACTTTGCGTAGTCACCTTGCCATGTCTGCGGAGATTTACCTTTATTATTGAGCTGACATTTGGCTCGTGACCTTCATCGACCTGTCGCGTCTGTTGCAGTGCATGAAGTCGTACGTCATGTTCGAGATCCTGGAGGGCGCGTACGATATCTCGTGCCCGGACGCCCAGTGCGCGCTGGAGGGGGTCGTCACCATGGCCGAGATCGAGAGCCTTGTCGAGACGCCCATGGTCGACAAGCACAAGAGATTCCGGCTCAACAGAGGTCAGTATGCACAGGATGTTAACATGTCTGGCACAGGCTTCGCCCAGCTGTGAAACCCTTGCCTGATGACGTTCTATGCACGCTCATTAATTGTGCGTCGCCAAGTAGTTGTGAACGCCGAGGTGGTGTGAGTCGCACTCACCTTGGGGAGCCCATGCAGCTGCTGACTGCTGACTGACGGACGACCATGCTTGCTGTTGCAGAGGTGGACCGCGACGCCACCCGGACGTGGTGCCCGCGGGCGGGCTGCGAGACGGTGTGCACCATGTGCACCCCGATGGTCGGCGGTGCCATGGGCGGCGGCGTGGGCGGCGCCAGCGAGCGGGCGGAGCGCGCGGAGCGGTGCCAGCCGCAGCCCGTGCACTGCCCGTCCTGCGACACGGACTTCTGCTCCGCGTGCCGCACCGAGTGGCACCCGGACGTCATCTCGTGCGAGGAGAACCAGAGGCGACTGGCGGCGCGGGGGCTGCTGCCCGATCCGCCGCTGCTCTTCGACTCGGACCTCATCAAGCTGTGCCCCATGTGCCAGGTGCCCATCGAGAAGGACGAGGGCTGCGCGCAGATGATGTGCAAGCGCTGCAAGCACGTCTTTTGCTGGTACTGCCTCGCCTCGCTCGACGTAAGTGCGGGACCTGCAGCCTTTTCCGGTGGCTTGTTGACTTGTTCGACCTCTCACGTTGGCTGTGTGTTTCAGGACGACTTCCTCCTGCGGCACTACGACAAGGGCCCCTGCAAGAACAAACTGGGCCACAGCCGCGCCTCCGTCATCTGGCACCGGACGCAGGTCATCGGCATCTTCGCTGGCTTCGGCATCCTGCTGCTCGTGGCCTCCCCGCTGCTGCTGCTGGCCGCGCCCTGCATCGTGTGCTGCAAGTGCCGCGCCTGCGGCGGTGCGGGCAAGCTGGACGCCGAGGACGATCTCCCCGGCGACGAGTCGGCGTCGCACTCGGCCACGGCCTCCTGAGGAAGCCAAAGGCGTTTCCGCTCCCTCCGCGCGGGGGACGAGGAACGCAAACGGCGCCGCCACCGGTCCCGCTCCAAGCGGGGCTCGCGGGGCTCCCGCACGTCCGGGGCCGGGGCGGCCGGGGCGGTGCGCAAGTCCAGCAAGAAGCCCGCCTTCACGGACGTGCCATGGGTCGAGGGGAAGGTCGTCAACTACATGATACGCAGCGCCAGCTTCCCCCCAGGCGGCCCCGACGGCAGTAGCCGCTGGTCCGGCGCCGGCGAATCCAGCGAGAACGCCGCCGACGAAGCTGGAGAGGACGGGCACGACGCTGACGAGACTGAGGAACTCTGGGGTGGACCTGGAGAGGTGGGTGACCCGGGAGAGGAGGCCCAGTCCAGTGACTGTTGCTACTTCTCGTATGGCGAGCCTGGTGGCGGGACTGCGGAGCCAGAACAGAATCGCCCTGCCCAGTCAGAGGACATAAGTTGTTACTTCTGCTACTTGCATGGCGAAGGTGGTGCTTATGGTGAAAGTGTTGGTGCTGTAGGGAAGTTTGGTGACCGCAACTTGACTTGGAGAGAAAAGGAGTGCAGTTGTTTCCCTCATGGTGAATCTGACGATGAATCTGAGGAAAACCGACTGCCTGTCCCAGAACATCAAGTGATGGGGCTCAAAGACTCCCAGGACGAAGACCAAGACTGGCAAAACTCTTTGAGCCAGGCATCTGGGCGACATCATCTGGGGCAACGAATGGGACATCTCCTTGGAGACATTCAGGAAGAACCACCATCAGATGTAACTGTGGAGGATCCTCTTGTAAAAGGATTGCTTACGACAAGGCTGTGAATATTTAACCCATGAACATGCTCATTGCCACTCAATGACTAAATGATAAAATATGGTTAATGATGCCAAAAGTGTTTATATTTGTGAAAATGTGAGATTGAAAACTTAGTCAGATAGATTCATCAGTCATCTTTTACCCCTGCTTTTCTATTTTGTTGAAAACATAAAAATTATGTCTGATCTTTTTTTCAGTTGAAACGTGGTTTATCTTTTGTAAAGTGCTATTTCAAATATTGATTTTTCACCAGTGTCAGTCCTATATATATATATCTGGAAGTTAAACGAGGCACCCTAATCAAGTGATTTGTTAACAGTGGAGCTAGATGTTAATTTTTATGCAGAATTATGATTTTGTTAAAGTCTGAGTGAAGTTTTTTTCTTTAAAAATAATGGAAGATAGTTTATATATGAGTGTTGGTAATGTGTGTGTGAGAGAGAGAGAGTGTGTGTGTGTGAGATAGAGAGAGAGAGAGAAAGTATGTGCATGTGTGTGTTTGAGAAAGAGACAGAGAATATAGGAGTGTGTTAAATAAAATGTGCTGCCTCTGAGTCAAATTTTGGATGATGCACAATAATTTCCATGGAGCTCTTGCTTTGGTCAAGAATTAAGTCTGAGTGTCACAGAAAATTTGAAACACTGTACACAAATTGTTTTCTATCAGCCTATGCTTCAATTTCAATCATCCAGGAGAGCTCTTGAAAAGGAAGTTAAATGTTCCATAATTTTTCTATTCATTCCACAATTTTTATGAAATTGTATCCCTGACAGTATCCAGTTTCCATAAGTGTAGTGTACAATTTCCTACTTCTATAATTTCTGACATGTCCATGTACTTGCAGTATAAACAGATACTGTGCCATTTTGTACAATACATGATTTATGCACTACCAGTCAGTATTGGTAGCAACTTTCTTCCTTAATCAATGAGAATTTGAATAAAAGGGCTAGCCTCTCTTACATAAAACTGATTTACCAATTGTGAATATGTATGCGGCTGTAAAGAACTCATAAAATTTGGGGTAAACCCACAGTAAATAAATGTGTACTTTGTGTGTGAATTCCTTCTCCACGCTACCCATGTTGACTGAAATTTCATTGGGTAGATGGAAAGGCGCAGAAGCTACATTAGTGTTCCTTGGTTCTTTAGAAAACCTTGATGCCATACACTGTAACTATGAAAGTTAAGAACACAGTATTATGACTGTACCCTCAATGCAATGACCACAGATAAACCTGATTGACAAAATGTTACTTGTGTAAAATATGCATTCAATGTTTCCCTATTACTGCAAAGAGCATGCCATTTCTTAGGATGGTCTCAAACTTGATCTCTTTATTTTACAACATTTCCAGAATATAGACCCTTAAATTGCTCCAAGTTGTATAAATCCATCAAATATTTGATAATCTAATACCAATCAGAAATTGTCTGTGATGACAAAATAGAAAATAATGTGCATCATTATTGATTTTCAAAAGGTTGCATATTACTTGTGATTTAAATGTTCTTAGGGCTTCAGGTGGCTTTTCTAGTCAATGCCTGATAAAAGACTTATTTTAAAACAGGACTGTCCTTTTTGCTCCTGAAGCTTTGCTTTATGGGTGCTAATGTTTGAAGAATTGATTTCTTATGGTCATTGATTTGCAAATTGTACCATTAACTAAATGCATTGCTATATTTCTTCATAAAGTATCAAAATTACATGAACATGAAGTTTTTCAAAGTAAGTTGTGAACTACCACATTTTGTTAAGACTATTGATTTTTTTTAAATGTGTTTCAATTGCAATACAGGTGCAAGCCTCTAGTCTTTTCCTTATTCCTTTTGATTAGAAACTGTGTGTACATTTTGCGAGGCAAATCTAAAACAAAGAAACAAACAACAAAGTTAACAGACTTCTATCATAGGCCTGTATATGTGTGTGTAAATTCACTCTCATTAAAAACTAATTAAAAGCATGCACTGAGTAGAAGATGTCTAAGTGTGCCTTTGCAAATCAGAGTCTATAAAATAATGAAAAAGAATCAAAAACACAACAAAAAACAACATAATAGAGAATATAGTTCCCTTCTTAATTTATTTGTTGCCCACTGTCTGAAGTACCAGTTCTTGTCGACAAATTTGTGAACTCACATGTTTGTATTCACACAATGTATCTCTTGTCTTCTATCATACAATCTCTCACACACATACACACGGTAAATTGACTGATTAATAACATTCTGTACAGGAGAGAATATAGTACCAAAATAAATGTAATAGTGTACTGGTTAAATATTATGGAAAAACGAATAATCTTACAAAATAACATTCCTTCAGGAACAAAATAGCCTTTCAGCCTATAGTCATGAAACTAAGCAGTTTCTACCGGTACAATTGCTGTCATGGTAAAAGAACAAAAAGGATAGAGATTTTTATGTCTTGTAAAATTTGAGTCACTTGTTAGCCTCTCAAATATGAAACACAATGGTTTCACTTTATATTTCAACTCTTCTGTCAAAAGTTCCAGTGAATTTAAACTTTACTCATTTCACATTATGAACTAATGGGGCTGCTTTCTCAACAGGGAATTTCATTTACCATGTCTTATCAGAGAGGAATTGATTGTTAAGGAATAAGTGCCAAGGTTGTGCAAAGGAATTATGTACTTAAATCTGACAGACCTACCATTGTTGGTACATATTTATTATGCCCATTAAATGATTTTATTGTCATTGTCATTTGTTCATTGTTTGCGTGACTGGAATGACAGCTAAAGAACAGTATGTGGATGCTATAGCCTGAATCTGTGCAGTGCACAGAAGTATGTGATATTTAGGAGAAAGTGTATGATACGGCGCCATGGCTTACATTTGAAATGAAAAACAACCAAACAGATTTGGCAGATGTATCAGTACGATTTTTACTTGTATGAATAAAATAATTTGTTTTTCCTATTACACATTCTGTTAATGAAAACTTTATAGTCCTTTCTCCTGCAAGTAAAAGCAATGCATTTTGTTTCCCATAAGCTACGTATAGTATCCTAAGTGGTTAAAACTTAAATTGGTACCAAAATATACTAATAATAATAATGATGTAAAAATTTATCAGAAATAACTGTAGATAACATAGGAAACTTACATCAAATTTGACGTCTGATGCCAACTGTTCTATCAAAAAGAGGACCATTATGATAAGCTCCTTCTCTGGATAGAAGAAAGTGCATCCACCGACCCTTCACTTTTATAGGAACAACATCATTCACTGATCTGTGGCCTTGACAGCTGATCTATGGATTTACAAAGAAAAAGGAAAAAAGTAGTTTGAGAAAAATTCAAGAGTTAATGAAAACAAATTTTAAAATGCTCTGACAAATTCAACAACCAAATGATCAAAAATGGATGACACACCTCGTTTATGTCAGCATAAATTCTCTTGTTCATGCGGAAAGCAATTGGATTATATGTGACAAATGTTGCAGATTTCCCACCTTTTTCCAATATCAGTTGGCCAACAGATCTGACAGAGTACATCCAAGCTCCACAGAATACGCCAGCAGCTAAAAAGGATAAAAAAATCATGAGAGGAATTATCAAAGGAGAATGGTTGATATTAAGTTCATTTTAATGAAATTTAATAACTATACCAAGTAACGCTGTTGCAACAGCAGCAACAAACTTCCTGGTTGGCGTACTGATTAAATCAAACTGCGCAAACCAAGGCAAGTTAGAAAGGTTCAATTTTTCTGATTGAGGAGTAATACGCATGGTTGCAAATTGATATGATGTTGCACACCAAAATGCAGTAAAAGAGAGGCCGAACAGATTAACCATCCTTAAAAATTTTAGGTTATCGTTGGTGTACAAAACTATAGCCTCAGAATTTCTCGTAGAACTGAACGTACTATCTCTTCCTTTTGAACAATAATTTCGAATTTGAGTTGTATTACTGCGAGTTAATCCCCGAAGGTTGAACTGAATATACTTATAGCAGGTCAGTGAGGTTATGTTTTCTGCACAACAACCCACAAGTTGACCATTGTACAAGAAACGACAGAACTGCCGAGCCTGCATACTGGCTAGACGGTTGACCGTCTGATTCATTTCAATACGAGAAAAGATTGATCATTCAACAACTACACCTAGGAAAGTTCATAAAACAAATTTGTTGCTTCGGAACTTCTTCTGCTCTGATTCCACAGAGGAACCCAACTAGCGCTACGTGTAATTTCTCATCCTGTTGGCACCAGGGCCAGGAAAGGGAAGGGGAAGAGGGAGGAGGCCAACCCACTTCACACATGCACGGGAGGGGTTGCCTACCGCGCCCGCAGCCCCTGCAGCCAGTGCATAGGACTGGACTATTTAATTTAATATAACTCCTGATCGTTGCTTAGTTGTCAGAGAGCCCGTCGCCTACCAGAAAACGTATATTAGGCTGCCTCCAAGAGCCACAAACCGCCACAAACAGATGTTGTACAAACCGGAAGACCGCCAGTTCGTCCGCCGAGTGAAATGGTCAATTGTGTGTTTACAACTAATGTTGGGTGAAGGAAATCCGTAGGCCTATAACGGAATCCATACAGTTTCATGCTTTCAAAATACAGGGTAGTCCATAGACCCCTTCCTTTATTTTGCTTTTACTGTACCGCATGCAGTCCTGCGAGTGGGTTGCATACTCACACGGGGCCGTAAGGGGCCGTGGTGAGCGACGGTAGGCAAGCCCGCCCGCACGCCTGCATGCGGTACAGTATAAGTAAATAAAGGAAGGGGTCTATGGACCACCCAGTATTTTTTTTAAAAAAATAGAGAAATTGACAATTTTTATTTACTTTATTTTTAAACATCAGTGATATCATCACCAAACCGTTGAAGATTATCTGTTTTACAACTCTACGGACACAGCACACGAGAGCTTAAATATTAAAAAGACACTCAAAAATAAGCAAATTTCAAGTTACATAGACTGAGCACACAAAATATTATTTACACAACGACATATCTTTGTCATAAACTCTAATAATCACACATTAAAGTAATGGCTACTTTGAGTAGAAAACATACTAATTGCATGGGAATATACAAATCTGTTGTTTCCTTGAAATCGTCTTTTTCAAATACCCAAATGCTAAACGTTAAAATGATATTTGTTTCTTGCCCTCTGTACCAGTCTCAAACTACAGAAGTCAAACAGAGAGCGTCCATGGATTCAATCATTCCCGGAATACGTATCTCCACAAACTATTGTAACCCTATCTGAAAATAGTACTCTGACACAATCCTTATTAGATACCTCAAAAAAATAATGCAACAAAATAGTTTTGCTTGTCCCAACAGCTCTGAGTATTTAAAAAAACCTTATACCTAATTAAAAAGTGGTCTCTCTTGTTTAACCCTTTATTAACACAAGGAAACTATACCGTCAACGACTGGCATAGCCAGCCAAAAGAGGCTTAACCCAGGATTTTATTAGCATTGAGCGCGGCATGACCACTATATGGACACGAACTCGCTCTAAATCATAGACACAAAAATATGCCCCGCACCCAATGTTTTAATATTTGATCCACACCATATCAAAAATCACAAATAATGAAAATTTCACTAAAAATATTTGTATGTAGGATCAATAAAGAGTCCAGTATGTAAAGTGAGGATTGTGAAAAGTTAAAATAGGAAAAACATTGGAACCACTTCCCCCTTCCTTTTGTCATCGCTGGAGGGCAATATTGAGACTTACAAGGCTACTTGGATTAAAGTTAGGTTGTCAATATTTTCATACACATTAAGTAGTGAAGTAGTGGCCCTGGCTAGAAAGCCGCCCATCTCTCTCACCCACACACAGAACCAACAGAACGTTCACATTTGCACGTGAAGTGCTCTTCAAGAGCTGCCAGCGTGTCCACTTCCACTCTATGCTCAAAACAAGCGCACCTGCATCATTTTGGAATCGGTTCAAAACGCGAAATGGTCCATTATGCCCGAAAGCCCTCGAAAGAAGATAGGCGTCGTGAGGAGCGTCGTCGACGCGCGCTGCAAGCGGTGACGAGCGCCTGCCAGGCTCCGGGTAGGCCGACCCGCCACACCGGCGCGTCGAGCGCACAGCGCCGCGGCCTACCGCCCAGGGGCTCTCCGCAAGGAGGATGCATCGCGCCTCGCTCGCCGCCCGCTCACTGCACGGCGCAGTGGTTGTCCGGGTTCTTGCTGCTGCCCACGCCCCTGCCCGCGTTGCTCGTCTTGTCCCTGAGGATGCGCAGGTCGGTGCGCAGGCTGGGCCGCCGCACGTTGGGCGTGACGACGCCGCACGCGTCGCTGAGGCGTCGCTTGATGGACAGCGTGCACTTCTTGGCGGAGCTGGAGGGCAGCGAGCCGTCGGGCGGCGGGGCGAGCCGCCGGTGGTGGTCGGGCGCCATCTCGAGGGGCAGCCCGGCCAGGTCCATCAGGATGCCGAACAGCTGGGCCACGTTCTCGTTGCGCGCCGCCGACACCTCGACGAACTCGCACCGGTCCTTGTTGGAGGTGAAGGCCTTGGCCTCGGCCGGCATCACCGCCCTGCAAACAGACGCGCATTGCTTCAGCGCCCGCCCCCTGGCAATACCCCTCGCTGCCACCCCCTGGGGCGTCGCCCCGCGGTGCGCGGGGTAGCGACGGGCATTTACAGGGGAGCGTCGGCATCGGAAGTCCCGGAATAACCCTCTCCCCCTCTCCTCCCGGCCTATTCATAGCCTCCTTGCCATTCGCCACTCCAGCCCTCCAAAGCCAAAAGAGTCCCTTACTTACCGGGGCTCGATGTCCGCTTTGTTGCCGGCGATGACCATGGGCACCCGGGGCGGGTGCGGCTGCCGCTTGGCGCCGCCCGCGTGCCAGGCCGCCATGTGCGTCTCCAGGATGGTCTCGCGCAGCCGGATCACCTCCTCGTACGAGTCTCGGTTGTCGAGGGAGAACACCAGCACGAAGAGGTCACCTGCGGGACCGTGATTCAGGACGTGACCCTCGGCACTTACTAGTGCGAACCGGTGAATTGTTTGCCGAGCATGAGGGCAGTAGTTTCACCTGTCAGGTAGGAGGTGCGCCGGAGCGCCGGGAATGGGTCGTGCCCGGACGTGTCCAACACATCCATTTGGTACACCTCACCCCGGATGCGATACAGCTTCCGGTAGAACTCCTCAATGGTGGGCTTGTGGTCATCCGGGAACTTGTTGTTCAAGAACCTTTGGAAGAAGAAAACGAAAAGGTGGAGATTGTTTTGTGTAATTATGAGGAGACTACCGAGTTAGCGATCATGTTTACTTGGAGGTGGCAATCTTTGGCCTCGCCTTTGACCTTTGACTATGTTAGTTTACTCCTCAACCTATGGCAAAAAGCTGTGGCTGCTGTGGCTGCAGCCATCCTTTCAACTGACATACATTAAAAACCTCTTCTGTAGCTGTTTGAGAGTGCTCTAATATGGCCTCCTCCGAAAGAATAAGAGTTTTGGGAAGTTTTACCTGGCGACGAGGGACGACTTGCCCACCCTGGGCGAGCCCGCTACGATCAGTCGGTAGCAGTTCTTGGGGGCCGGCTTGCTGTTGGGGTCGTCCGTGCTGCAGGAGGTCGCCGAGCCAGGGGACGGCCCAGCGCCCGACAGCACGTCCTCGCTCTCATTGGAGGGCCGCGGCGACCGCGGCGACCGAGGCACCCTCGGCGACTTGGGCGACTTGGGTGACTTGGGCGACTTGGGCGACTTGGGCGACTTCGGGGAGCGTGGCGAGCGCGGTGAGCGTGGCGAGCCCGTGCCGCCCGTCAGCGGGAACACGGAGCCCACCTGGCAGCACCAGGACACGCAGCTAGAGGCGCTGCCCGGCGTGGTCGCCATCTGTGGGCAGGCAGACCGTACGGTGAGTGCGTAGCAAACTAGTACCCGACAACAACAACTCATGCACATGCACAGAGAAACACTCTCTCGCTCACAGGGGGGTGGTGCACCTACGACTCCTGGGGCACATCAAGAATGAGGCCACGGGAATATGCTGCAAATCTCGAGTGAGGAGTCGCCACCAACGGGAAGAGGGAGTCCTCGACGACAACCGACTACCGGAAAGTATACACACGCACACACAAAACACACGCACACACAAAACACACGCACACACAAAACACACGCACACACAAAACACACTCACACAAAACACACAACCGTGTAGGGGTGGGGCCATGGGTGCGCTGGTTCTGCGCGGAAGATGAAGGGGCGAGAAGAGAGGGGTGAGTCGAGGAGTGAACCGATGTGTGTGCGTCCAAGAATCTGAGCCGGGATGAAACGAGCAGCGTCTCTCATCGGGCTAAGGAGTTTGTGTAATCGGAGCTGTAGCACGCAGCAGACTCGACGAGAGTTGTGAGTTTAACCCAGTCGTCCCCCTCCCCAGTCCCCTTAATCCTGCCGTGTCGTGCGACCCAGCTTTATTCTCTTTTCCCTCAGTAGTATGGGAGGCACTTTTCTACCGTTTTGCCTACCTCGCAGGGGCTCTGGTCTGGGGCCGGGCGGCTCGCCTCGGCGCAGGCGGTTGGGTC